GAGCTCTTTTGCTCAAGGCTAAACCTCAGCACCATTTCCAGTTTTCTGGTGGTTTATTAGAGATAAGAGTCTCACACACTTTCCTGCCCAGGCTGGCTTTGAACCATGATCCTCAGCTCTCAGCCTCCTCAGTAGCTAGGATGCAGGCATGAGCTACCAGCGCCCTGCTAGCATGCAAGGTTTTATTGTAGGTTTCAGTTAGGAGTGGGGACCTCTCCTAGCCCCCCGAACATGGAGCAGTGCCCTGAGCATGGACTTTGAAGGCAGAGAGGCCTGGAATTGGGCCCAGAGCAAGACATTGGACAGGATAAGAAATCTCTCTGAGCCTGTTTCTCTGTACACAAAAGAAAAGTACCAGTACTTACCTTGCAGTATTGGCTGGAGCATAACAGATCAGATAAGAAAGGTATAGATAGGTGCTCTATGGAGAAATTAGTGCTGTTCAGTATTTACTTATTTAGGTACTGGTGCTTGAACTCAGGACTTGGGTGCTCTCCCTAAGCAGGACTAGTGCTATACCATTTGAGCCGCAGTTCTACTTCTGGCTTGTTTTGTGTGTGCTTAATTGGAGCTAACAGTCTCACAGACTTCTCTGCCTGGGCTGGTTTTGAACCATGATCCTCAGCAGCTGGGATAGCAGCATGAGCCACCCAGTGCTTGCTGTTTGGTCTTTTTTTGTTTTGCTTTGTTTTGTTTTGTTTTTGGTCGGTTGTGGGGCTGGAACTCAGAGCCTGGGCACTGTCCCTGAGCTCTTTTGCTCAGGACTGGCTGTATACCACTTTGAGTCATAGCTCCACTTCCAGTTTATTTTAGTGCTTAGAGGTGACTCTCATGGGGACTTTCCTGCCCAGGCTGGCTTCAAATCCTAGATCTCAGCCTCCTGAGTAGTTAGGATTACAGATGTGAGTCACCAGCATCTGGCTCTGTTCCCTTTCTTTCTTTCTCTTTCTTTCTTTCTTTCTTTCTTTCTTTCTTTCTTTCTTTCTTTCTTTCTTTCTTTCTTTCTTTCTTTTTCTTTCTTTCTATCTTTCTTTGTTTTGCTGGTCGTGGGGCCTGAACTCTGGGTCTGGATGCTGTTCCTCAGCTCTTCAGCTCAAGGCTAGCGCTCTACCACTTGAGCCACCTTCCCAGCCCCACTGTTCCATCTTTTCAGACCTTCTTAGACCAGACTCAAGAAGGCTGGAAGACTTGGAGAAAGCCCAGGCTACTTTTCCAGGCCACTTTTTACCCTTACGCAGTAGCCACACTGAGCCCTTCACCTTTATCTGCCACACTAGATTGGGGTAGTACCCCTTTTTCTCTCCAGGATCTGCAAAGGTATCTTCCACATAGCGTGTATCCTGTTCCTCCAGGGTCCAGCCACACGCACCTCAGAGTCGTCCGCCATCCGCAACAGCAAGCTTTGAACGTCTGACTCAACATGAATCTCCCATCTAAACCTGGAATGTCAGTCATTCCTGGTCACAGAATGGAAGGCTCTGGACAGACAACTCGCTCATTGTCTTTCCTACATCATCCTTCGCTTTCTCTCTCTCTCTCCGATGGTCCAGTGTTCTGTCCCCTCCCACTTTCCCTGGTGCATCTTGGCCTTCTTTTACTCTATTTCCTTGGGAGCGGGTCTGGTCTCCACTCACTGTTCCTGGTTGTTAGACAGAACCTCTGTTCCCAGACCAGGATGCCCTGGAGGCCGCTCCTCTCCTTGTCCCTGTCGCTGCTTTTCACACCCACTGAGGCCTCAGGCTCTGACCCCCGGCCAACCAGTGAAAAACCTAAGCATGAGGGTGAGGCCCTGAGCACATGCGCTCCCCCCCATCTTTTCTTTTTTAAGTGTGCCTGGTTAATACCCATTAATCAACTGGAAGCTGGAACACTTTCAAAACATCGTTGCTTTTTCTCTCCTTTCTCTTCTCCTTGTGGATTTACACATTTTGCTTTAAAAATTGCATTTTAAGGTCTTTTTTATTGGGATTTTTAGGAAACGGCTGAGGCTAATGTAGTTGATCAATCCATCATCCTGTACCAGAAACCAATTGATGCTTTTTAGTGTCTTTCTCCATATATTGGCTTGAAAGTTATCCATTCTTTTGAGTCTTTTAATGGGTTTTCCTTAAAAATTTAATACTGTTGCCTGGCTCAACAAAGTCTAAAGATGATCAATATTCCTATCTTCACCCTGGATATTGCAAAGACTGGGCAGTGCTTCAACTTTGATCTCTCCTTGCCCATTTTTCCTGTTATTTTGGTCTAATATTTTAGTTCTTCATTGTTTTTTTTTTTAACATTTTCTTCAATGGTGGCAGTGGAGATAGGGGAGTGAAGTAGACAGATTAAACTATATATATATATAATTTATATATATATATAGCTTATATATATATAGTTTATATATATAGTTTTAGGTAGAACTAGATGCAATTGCCAACATTTGATTCTTAGTTATAAAAACCGAATTCAACCGGGAAGTGGTAGCTCATGCCTGTAATCCTAGCTGCACCGGTTCAAAGCCAGCCTGGGAAGAAAGTCTGTGAGACTCTTATCTCCAATTAACCAGCAAAAAGCCAGAAGTGGATCTGTGGCTCAGGTGGAAGAATGCCAGCCTTGAGGGCAGTTTCCGGGTCCCAAGTTCAAGCCCAAGTACTGGCACCAAGAAAACCCTAAAACCTAATTTTACATATACCCATCATATAATGTATATGCAGCACATAAGGAAATATGAGCGTGTCTTGCATTTGTCATTTGCATTAGTTTAGATTCAGTCAGAAAAACAGAAGTCATATCATGTATTTAGGTATGGTAGGCTTTAATGAAGGAAATTAAACTTAAAAAAGTGTTGGGAGGGCCAGGGAAGTGACAAATGGTTTGTAATACTGAATGATTTTCTGCTTTGTAATAATGAATGATTCTCCAAAAACTCACCTACAATTGTAAAGCTCTCTTCCTTATCTGTCTATAACAGACGTGACCCCCAAGAAGGCCTCTAGGAGCAGCTTTAAGTCCCACCCTTCTATTTGCAACTTTAGTGAAAAGTAATGGTTGCTTCTCTTCAATTTCACATTAGCTGGCTCTAACCATGGACCATGGACAGAAAGGGATTCTGGGGGATGTAGTTCTGAGTGACTCTTCTGTGTCTCAAGAAAGACCTTTAGAAGAATGTCTTAAGTGGTATTGCCAACGGACAATCCAGTGCAGCTGTAATTTATGGCATAGCCTTCTTAAGTTTCAGTCCTCAATGAAAGCCATTAGAGTACCAAAAAGGCTTCCTTTTTTGTTGTCCTGATAAAATCTACGTAGAATTACCATTTTAACTTAGAGTTAGAGCAGTTGAACATTAGCCTTTTGTTGAAGATGAAGGTACAACAAGGGAGGGGCATCTCCCTCCCTCCCTCTCTTAACAAATATCAACTAAATTTGGAAAAAAAAGAGAACATGCATTCACTGGGAGGTGGGCTATTTCAAATAGAAAGAATAGCATGCACAAAGGGGCAGGATCTGGGGAGGTGCCTAGGAAATGCCAGAGTTTTGTGCAGCAGGAGGTGAGACAGGAAATGGGTTGGGATGGGGGGATGGACGGAAGGGCAGGGCTGTGGTAGAGAGACCCTATAGGTTCTGAGCACACTCAAGGTGAGAGGCCACTCGGGTTCTGGCAGTGTGGAAGCAGCATGAGAGTGAATCATTCCAGGTACACGCAGGAGCACAGCTGAGGAGCTTACGAAGGTGTGTGTTTAATCATGTGGAGGGAGGCTGTCACTGGAGAAAGATCTGAGCTTCAGGCCTCTCTTCCTCAGAGGTCCTGGGGGTGGAGTTTAGCCTTCCCCATGGATAGTCTTCCTCCTGCTCCAATCCCTGGGGTCCAGAGTCCCTGGCCCCCAAACCACTACACCTCACCTTCAACATGGCTTCCCCTGCTTCATCCAAGATTCTCTCAAACGTAGAGAGATGGGAGGGTCTTGAAAGCCATAGATGCCGCCTCTTCTCAGGTTGCCCAGTACCTTGTCCTGGGGCTGGTAAGAATTGCTTAGACTGTTCCTCTAACTGGCCGGGCACAGTTGAGTAAGAGCGGGGCCTTCCACAGACAAACAGGCTGCGTGTATTGATGGGATGGCTCATGGGCCGCAGGGAGGTTGCAGGTCGTGGGATTTAGGAGAACTGAGTGAGGGAAACCCCACTCCTACTGGGAAGTGCTTGTGCAGGCCCTGGTACTAGGGAATGCATTAACCCTCTGAGTGCCAAGCAAAGGGCAGGAGGTAGGAGCTGGGAGGTAGCTGGGGTCATCTTCGTTGAACTTCCACGTGTTATTTGCTCAGAGCAACTGTTATCAGAGGCCCAGGCGCCTCCATATAAAGCAGAATGTCTGCTCCTGGTGCCCAGAACTGAGCAGGTGAGCAGCAGGGGTGAAGGAAGGTGGTGGTCTTAGTTGGAAGGAAGGGAGTGGCAGAGAACTTTCTGGAGATAGCTTGGCGGCAACTAAGGCATTTTGGCAGAGCTGCTTCCCCCTCCCCACCTCTGTGTAAGCCTCAGTTTTCCTAGCTATGAAATGGGAGGCAAGAAGATGAGAGAGAGAGAGAGAGAGAGAGAGAGACAGAGACAGACAGACAGACAGACAGAGAGCACCAGGGAACAGGGAGGATGATGGCAGAGCAACCTTTGTAAGGCATACCCTTCTTGGGGACTGAGGTAAGAAAGGAACCCCTGACCCATGCCGAAGAAGACTCCAAGACTCCCAGACACTCCTAGGTGAGCACCAACCTCCTCTGGAGTCCCTATAAGCCAGGGAAGGGGGTAACAGGATTTGGGCCAGACTACTACTAGAGTTCTTGAAGTAAGTCCCTTCCTCTTTTTTTCTTCTTAATGTGGTACTGGGGTTTGAACTCAGGGCCTTGTGCTTGCTAGGCAGGTGCTCTACCATGTGAGCCACACTCCCAGCCCAAGCCTTCCTTTGCTTCTTCACCTTGCCCAGGCTCCTATACAGTGTCCTTTTCAAGAGTGCATCCATATCCAGCATGGCTGCAGTCCTCACCTGGGCTCTGGCCCTCCTCTCAGGTGGGTCTGACTTCAATGTGAGGGTGGGGCGGAGGCTGGGATGAGGGGCCTACCCCCCCGGGGGAGGAGGGATGCCCCCCTAGTCACCCCTTCTTTCTCGACAGTGTGTGCAGCCACTCAGTCACAGAAGGGCTTCTGGGACTACTTCAGGCAGAGCAGTGGGGACAAAGGCATGATGGAGCAGGTCCAGCAGCAGAAGCTGGCTCGGGAGTCTGTGTGAGTGGCCCTGGTTTGGGGGAGGGGCCAGCAGGAAGGTGAAGCGACACCCTGCCTTCCTCACCCTGTGGTCCTCAGCCTGGCAGAGGAAGCATGCTGGGTTGTGCTTGCTCTGCTGGCATCTGCCACCCTGGGATCTTCCACACTTCCTGCCCCCGTGTCAGTGGTTGGCCCCATACCAAGGCAGTCCATCAGATCAGTGGAGGAGTCCCAGAATGGCAGGATGGTGTGATCCTCTTACTCATGTGTGCACTGACTTCTTTGCATCAAGTTTTAGGTCTGGATTTGCTTGCATGTGTAATGCGTCTGTGATTCCTGTGTGGTTGGTTGGGGGTGAGGACTAGACACCCCGGCTCTGGAGCTTTCTCCCTACATCCTTAGTTTCCCCAGAGGATCAGGGCATGATGGTTCTGGGGTAGAGATGATCTAGGCTAGTGGACTGATGGCCTGCTTGTCCATCCCTTTTTTCCAGGAGCTTGAAAGATAGCCTCAAGCAAGACCTCAGCAATATGAACCAACTCCTGGAAAAACTGGGCTCCCTGAGTGGACAGGGGAAGGAGCCAGCCAGTCTGGAACAGGACTCAGCGGGCATACGTCAGCAGCTGCAGGAGGAGCTGGAGAAGATGAGGGTGCACCTGGAGCCCTACATGGCTGAGAAGCACAAGCTGGTGGGCTGGAATTTGGAGAGCTTTCGGCGGCAGCTGAAGCCCTACACGGAGCAGCTGATGGAGCAGGTGGGCCTGCGTGTACAAGAGCTGCAGGAGCAGCTGCGCGTGGTGGGAGAAGACACGAAGGCCCAGCTGCTGGGGGGTGTGGACGAGGCCCTAGGCATGCTGCAGGGTATGCAGAGACGCGTGCTGCACCACACAGGCCGCGTCAAAGAGCTCTTCCACCCTTACGCAGAGCGCCTGGTGACTGGCATCGGCCACCATGTGCAGGAGCTGCACCGCAGCGTGGCCCCCCACGCTGCAGCCAGCCCTGCGCGGCTCAGCCGCTGCGTGCAGATGCTCTCGCACAAACTCACCCTCCAGGCCCACGCGCTGCACTCGAGTATCCAGCAGAACCTGGACCAGCTGCGCAAAGAGCTCAGTGCCTTTGTCCAGGCCAGTGCAGACGGGGCTGAGGAGGGGACTGGTCCTGACCCCCAGCTGCTCTCCGAGGAGGTGCACCAGAGACTCCAGGCTTTCCGCCAGGATACCTACCTACAGATCGCTGCATTCACCCGTGCCATCGATCAGGAGACAGAAGAGGTCCAGCAGCAGCTGGCACCACCCCCACCAGGCCACAGGGCCTTCGGCGCAGAGTTCAGACAAGCCGACAGTGGCAAGGCCCTGAGCAAGCTTCAGACCCGTCTGGATGACCTGTGGGAAGATATCACCTACAGCCTTCATGACCGGGGCCATAGCCAGCTGGGGGAGCCCTGAGGGTCTGCCGTGTTCAGGCTCATTCCCTAAGTCTTTGGCCGGGAAGCCCTGGGCCTGAGCTTCTAGCATGGCTTGTGGTAGGTGGAGGGTCCTAGCCTGGACAGATGAGGCTGCCAGAGGGGCTGCTTGCAGTTACTACCTATCCAGCCTCCTCCATTCCCCCATCTGGACGCATTACACTCACCAGGCTTTGCAAACCCAGCTTTGGTGCTCATTTGGGAATCCTCAGGCGTGTGACCTTTCAGGGGTGGAGGGAGTGGGGAGGAGATGGGGAGATGGCCTGGGAGCCCATGTGCGATAGTGCTAGAAGCTCGTGCCACTACAGCCCCGAGGTTCACTCCTGTCACTTCTAGCCTGGGGATGGCTGCAGCTGGTCCACAGGGAGGCGCTCTTGTCTACCAAAGGGGTTCTGACAACCTTCACGGGGGAGCAGGGGAAGGTTGGAGGAAAATGTAATGGTGAGAGCATGGGAAGGTGTGGCTGGCCATGATCCTGGTGGGTGAGTGGTGAAGCAGTAGTAGGATAGGGCAGAGTCCTTATTTTACTCCATCCCTGAATGAGGGACTGAGCTCCTCAAACGGCGGGGTCTTCTTTTTCTTCTTCTTCTTTTTTGGGTCCAGTCGTGGGGCCTGAACTCTGGGCCTGGGGGTCCCTCAGATCTTCAGCTCAAGGCTAGCGCTCTACCACTTGAGCTGCAGCGCCACTTCTGGCTGTTTCTATTTATGTGGTCCTGAGGAATTGAATCCAGGGCCTCATGCATGCAAGGCAAGCACTCTACCACTGAGCCACTTTCCCAGCCATGGCTGGGGGGGGGGTCTTCTTAAACCTTCTGGGGAGGGAGGGCATACTGTGTGCCCTCCGTATCTTCAGCCTTTCCTTCCTGACTCCCAAGCTGAAGTCTAGACTTCCAGCTCAAATGAAATAGATGCTTGTGATGGAAGCTCATTTGCCTGGTGTGACTCATTTGGATCCTGTCGAAGAGTGGTTGTCTCACCACTGTCCCAAAGCACCCATCACTCACTCTAATCTTTTACTTCCCCTCTCATTGACCCCCTTCCCATCCCAGTCTGCCTGAGGGCCGGCTCTGGCTGGGCTCTGTTTCGGGGTTGTCATACTTGATGTGACAGTTGTCTGTCACACCAGAGGGAGGGAGGGAACAGGTTTTGAGACCCTTCCTCTGCATTGGCATTGTCCAACAACCTGCTTGCCACCACTATGGAGTGCAGGACCCCTGACCTGCTAGCCCTGAGATTTCTAAAGATGACCCGCCCCCTTTGGATCCTGCTGTTTCAGATCCTACTTTTTGTGACTAATTATCTTTTTGGGGGCCCCACAACTCTTACCTTCTCCCAGCTTAAGATACACTAAGGGACTTCCAGCATCACCTGGGAAATGGGAAACTGAGGGCTAGGGGAAAAGGGTAAATCACTCCTTCTGCACTGCCCTGCCCTGCCTCCTTTCCTCCCAGCTCAGCTCACATCTGCTGGCACCTAGATACAGACCCTTCCTACCACAAGCCTGCGCTCCTCACGCCCACAGCCTCCTCATTCCTGACAGCCTGCATGGAGCCACTCTCGGCAACACACTTTCAGCTCAGACACACAGAGAGGAAGTTTATCCACCCCCAAAAGTGTTTTGATTGTTAGGAAACAGGGTGAGGTGAGTCAGCTGGGTTCGGATGTGGTAGGGATGAGGGGGTGGGAGCAAAAACAAGAGCTGTGTATTTGAGGCTTGACTATGAGATGGTGCTTAGGAGGGCAGAAACAGGGATCTGAAAGGAGACAGAGACAGACAGACAGAAGGAAGGGGGTGAGATGGGGGGGGGGGCGAAGAGGCTGGATACTGAGGGAAGGGAGGAAGCTGAGGGCAGGACCTAGAATCAAAAGAGGAGGACCTAGACCCGGGGGAGTGTCAGGCTCAACACGGGGCCCAGGCAAGGCTAATTCAGACTGCACCTTGCTCGGGACAATCCAGTCCCCTCAAGGCTCTGGAAGACAGACTGTGGGAGGCACACCAGACCTAGGGTCTGCCAGCGGGAGAAGCGCCGGCGGGGCGGAGCTCCATCTGTCCGGCTGTAGTCTGTCCCACCGAGCGCCGGTAGCTCTCAAACGCAGCTCTGCCAGGGTCTGAGTCAGCGGGCTCTTTAAGAAGGGGCGGGGACAGTGGCTGGCGGAAGTGGGCCCGTCAGGGCGGCGGAAGAGGTCGGGCCAGAGAGCCCGCGGAAGCCGGAAGCGGAGGTCGGAGCTGCGCGTGGGGCCATGGCGGCCGGCGGCGCGGTGGAGCCGGGCCCCCCGGGGCCCGCGGCCGTGCCTTCTCCTGCCCCGGCCGGGCCGTCGACCGCTGGGCCCCTGTTCCGGCCCCTCAGCGCCGAGGATGAGGAGCAGCAGCCCACCGAGATCGAGTCGCTGTGCATGAACTGTTACCGCAACGTGAGGCCGGGCGGCCGCCGGGGCGGCGCGGGCGGGAGCGGGGTCGCCGGGCGGGCCGGCGCGGGCGGAGGACGGCGTCTCACCGCTCCCCCAGGGCACGACGCGCCTCCTGCTCACCAAGATCCCCTTCTTCAGAGAAATCATCGTGAGCTCCTTTTCCTGCGAGCACTGCGGCTGGAGCAACACGGAGATCCAGTCGGCGGGCCGGATCCAGGACCAGGGAGTGTGCTACACCTTGACCGTTAGGGGCCAGGAGGTGAGAGGGTCCCCGGAGAAGGTCCCGGCTCTGATCCGAGGCGGGGGGGGGGGGGAGGAAGGGAGAGGGACAGGGAGAGGGAGAGGAGGGAGAGCGGGAGGACTGGCCCAGGCCATCAGACCTCAGTCCGAAAGCGAGCCTCGGAAATGGTATTGGTGCTTGTCAGGCGCTCAAGGGAGTCAGGATTTGTGAAAGTGTTTTGTGAATTTTGTTGAGTTTGAAGTCAGCAGGAGATGTTGGGGGTTGTTAGGGAAAGATCAAGGGGAAGAAAGGAAGAGACATATCAACAGATCGGAACAGGCTTTAATTATTGCTGCAGCGGGACTCCAGGTAACACAGAACAGGGTCGGAGAAGCCAACAGGGATGTGAGTGGGTTTAAGGTTTTTATACATTCAAGGGTGAGATCTTCTTTGGAATGTGTTTGGCCTGACCTATTTAGGGTTTTATATAGGGGTATCCTTCTGACCCTGACGGTCCTGCACGCTCAGATAAAGTCAGGGGGGAAGTTTTCCCGAGAATGAGGAGGGTTCCCCAGGGGAGGGTGGTCAGTGGGCCAGGGACTAACATGGAGTTGTGAGAACAAAGCAGATTCCCATCAGGGGTCCTATATATGCCCACCATTCGGGCAGGATGGCTCAGCCATCTGTACTAGTAAATGGTTGGGACCTTCCTGAGGAGGAGTGGGGTCTGACAGAGGGAGACGGTTGTGGTTATTTGGGGAGGAGAAGCTGTACTTCTGACCTCTGGTTTCAGAGTTGTCCTTTTTGCCCAGGACATGAACAGAGAAGTGGTGAAGACAGACTCTGCCACTACCCGGATCCCTGAGCTGGATTTTGAAATTCCAGCTTTCAGCCAGAAGGGAGGTGAGTTTGAGATCTGGGTATTTGGGCTGTGTGTTTGTGTCTGTGTGTGTGTGTGTGTGTGTGTGTGTAAAATTGAGATCTTACTCATTTTCTTGCAGAAGTCCTCGTGCCAGGCTTAGTGGCTTTCCTATGGTTTTTGGCCATGAAATCATGGTGATTTTTTTTTCTTTCTTTCTCTGAGTAGGGCTTGAACTCAGGGCCTCTCTCATTTTCACTTTTTTCCTCAGGGCTGTTACGTTACCACTTGAGCCACACCTCTAATTCCAGCTTTTTGTTGGTTGGTTAGACCTGAGTTTTTGTGGATTTTTTGGTCTTGGCTAGCTGACCCTTAGATCCCAGCCTCTTGAGTAGTTAGGATTGATTATAGGCTACCAGCCATCAGTCACCTGGCTATCATTGTAATTTTTATTGGCTGAACATCAATGCAGAGTTTAGGCAAAATAGCTTGCATAGAGTTTAATGGTAAGGTCATGATGTGCTTATTTTAGAACTTTCCCTTCAGTTGTCAGAGATGAATGGAACCTAATGCTTGACCTCTTCCTTTTATAGATGAGAACATCAAAGCCCAGAGAAGAACATTTGTCTTACCCAGGATTATATAGGCTCTTGATAGAAGAGCTAAAACTCATTTCTCTTACTTTTTTTTCACAAGCTCTGACCACTGTGGAAGGATTGATCAGCCGTGCTATCTCTGGCCTGGAACAGGACCAGCCCACACGAAAAGTAAGCTGGGCATGTCTACTTACAGTGGCTTAAGGAATCATTGCTTCTATGTGTCTGAGTTGGGGCACTTTTTGGAAAAGCCTGTGGTGTTGCTTTGGCTTCCTTTCTGAATCCCTCCCTCAATGAATATTCTAGCCTCCTCTCAGCCAATGTAACATTATTTCTGATCTTGGGTTACCTTTGCTTCCTGGGTATTTACATTGAACCATATATTTATTATATGAGTGATGAAGATGCATTTTAGTTATCTATCTCCCTGGCTGGCTAGGGAACCCCATCAGAAGGTTTTGATTTACTTACTGTTATATCCCTATTCTGGCATGAATGCCTGGGCAAAGTGGTGGAATGAGAAATGAGGCTCCCTGGTACTACCTATAAACTTCAGAGTCATCACATCTCAGGGTAAAGTCTGAGTCACACTGTTCTCATTCACGCTAAGATCGGTAAAGTCTGAGTCACACTGTTCCCATTCACACTAAGATCGGTAAAGTCTGAGTCACACTGTTCCCATTCACACTAAGATCGGTATGGACTTCCTGGTGGAATGAACATGAGATGAACATGAGGTTGGGGCATGAGGTATGTCACAGGGCTGTCCCTGTTCATGACAGGCAAATGAGGATGCCATAGCTGAAAGAATTGACGAGTTCATTGTCAAATTGAAGGAGCTAAAGCAAGTGGCTTCACCTTTCACTCTGGTAAGTACCGAGGGACTACAGTTGCCTTCAATTCAAGAGAGGTTGGGAGAGATCATTAAGACTATCTGGGGCTGGGCGCTGGTGGCTCACTCCTGTAATTCTAGCTACTCAGGAGGAGGCTGAGATCTGAGGATCGTGGTTCAAAGCCAGCTTGGGCAGGAAAAGTCAGTGAGACTCTTACCTCCAATAAGCCACTCAGAAAACCAGAAGTGATGCTGTGGCTCAAGTAGTAGAGTCTTGAGCTGAGGAGTTGAGGGCAGTGCCCAGGCCAAGAGTTCAAACCCTTTGACTGACCACCCCCCCCCCAAAAAAAAAAAAAAAAGACTATCTGGGAGTTTTCCACTGTGTGCTCATAGTAGGTAGTGGGATGTATATGATTTTTTTTTTTTTAATCACTCTTCACTCATCTCTCAGATCATTGATGATCCATCAGGGAACAGCTTTGTAGAAAACCCACATGCTCCCAGGAAAGATGATGATTTGGTGGTCACGCACTACTACCGGACACTTCAACAGGCAGAGATGCTGGGGCTCCAAGTAAGTGACTCTTGAGCCAGGAGAATGCTCTGGAAACATCTTGTACTGGGGATTGCTTAGAATCGGTGGGAACTTGTTTTCTTGCTGCTTCCTCCTGAGAATCCCGTTTTGTTCATTTCTTCTCTCATTTAGTTCAGGACTTAGTGTGCCTTTCCGGGAAGGATGGTGGTGGCTGTAACTCTGCCCTCAGCCCTGGTCTTCCCTTGGCTGAGGTTTTACTCTCTGTCTAACCCACGAGTGAAGGAAGGCATTTTCTCTTGCTCCGGAGCAGGAGAAGGGAGAGCTGAGTCTACCTGCTTTGATTTGTATTTCTGCTCTTATAGGCAGAAGCACCAGAAGAGAAGCCTGAAGAGGAAGACCTCCGAAATGAAGTAAGTCACTATGGCTCCTGTTAAGGAAGGAACAGAGGTGTTGACTGAGGCTGTTGCTGTTCAGGGTCTGTCTCTAGCCAGCACCACCTCCATAGGGTACCACTATCATTCCAACTGTGACTGTTGGAATGCGACTATCCTGCTTAAGAAGTGTCCCCATATTGTGTCCTAGGTGCTCCAGTTCAATACAAACTGCCCAGAATGCAATGCTCCAGCTCAGACCAATATGAAATTAGTGCGTATCTTTTGTCATCGAGGCAGACATGGAGATTAAACTAGGCTTGGAAGATCCCTTCAAGGAAGTGTGTGCTTTATCTATAGTGATAAGGCGGATATTGCCCTTGATTACACCATGTACCTTGACTGTTGGGTTCAAAGGAAAAAACGAGGCCAGGATCTGGAGGCATCTTTTCCTTCACACGGTCACCGTGAGGGAGTGTGTCCTCTCTTGGAGGACTTGAGCCTGCCTTGTAATATGCTTCTGGAAATCTTGGGACCAGCATATGTTTGTGTGGAGTTTGGCTTTGCTTTTTCCTCGCGGGTGGTCTTGCTCTCTTGAAAGTCAATTTCCTTGACTCAGTCTTCAGAAATCCCCCACTTTAAGGAGGTTATCATCATGGCCACTAACTGCGAGAACTGCGGGCATCGGACCAATGAAGTGAGTGGGCTCCATTACTGGGGAGGAAGACTGGCTTTGGGATAACCTCAGCACCCTCCTTCCTAAGAGATGTGAATGCTCCAGGGTGGGGTGGAGAATACTGCAGGTTGGGTCTTGACTTAGGCTTAGTGTAAAGAGTGTCCTTGAGGGACCTGGGAATTAGTCTAGAGAAGGAAGGCTAGACAGGCCATAGGTTGGCTGTAAGGGAGACAGCCCTGACCTACTTTTCAGGGAGGCAGATTGGACTTAGGCATTGAACCCAAGGCTTTATGCCTGTTACCACTGAACTACATTCCCAGTCCCTGATTAAATTCCTAAACCAGTATATAATGAAGGGGTCCGTACATCAGATGCATTGGGCAGAAGGACTGAAGTGAATCATAAGTCTCTTTTAACCCCCAAGTCATATCTCTTTGAAACGGTCAGCCCAGGGTTTCTTGGCAGTTTGGGTTAAGCTTTAGCATGCTGCTAGGGTTGGCACTTTGCTCTTACCACTGTTGGTGTTTGTGGTTGGGTCCCAGCTGCTGCTATTGGTTTGAAAGGCTCTGTCACTGGTAGCTATTGGTTGGCCAGCTTGCAGTTCCAAGCCTACAGAAGTGTGAGGTCTCCTTGGCACAGGTGAGGCTTGAGGTCTCTCTGCTGCTGCTCCTGACTGCTGTCTCTGCAGGTGAAGTCTGGTGGGGCAGTGGAGCCCCTGGGCACCAGGATCACCCTCCGTATCACAGATCCCTCAGACATGACAAGAGACCTCCTTAAGGTAATGTGCTGCCAGGAGAATGGCTGTCTTCTGAGGGAAGTGACATTTTAAAGATAAGATTTGGGGATGTGATTTGGGGATGTGATTTGTGTTCTTAGTTGGAGGTTTGAGTGGGATTACAGATTCAGAGGGTGAGCCCCAAGTTCTTTCTGAACAACGCCGTCCAGTGTCTATACTGCTCCTCTTCTCTGACCTCTCAGGGCAGGACACCTGACAGTGTGGGACTCAGACTCAGCTCGTCTTATTATGTTGGTTTCATTTTGTTGGGCAGTAGAGGCTCTAGTTTTAACTGGGAATTCAAGAGAAAACTGGGATTTTGAGTTTGTCCTCAAGTTCTCACTAGTGGTGTTAATTTGGTAGGAGGCCTCTGGTTGGCTTTCTTTGCATCTGACTTAAATTTGTTTAGTTTTTGCCCTCTGGGGATTGAACTCAGACTTCTTGAGTGTTAGATTGATGTTCTTCTATTGAATTCTGCCCCATCTCCTGATTAAAGTCTTAATTTGACTTTGTCTTATAGTCTGAGACATGTAGTGTGGAAATCCCAGAGCTGGAATTTGAACTAGGAATGGCAGTTCTTGGGGGCAAGTTTACCACTTTGGAAGGACTCCTGAAAGACATCCTCGAACTGGTAAGTACCAAAGTTCATGGATAGCTACTTGTCACAAAAAAGGGGCTGGAGCTGGGCGCTGGTGGCTCAGGCTTGTAATCCTAGCTACTCAGGAGGCTGAGATCTGAGGATCAGGGTTCAAAGCCAGCCCGGGCAAGAAAGTCCGAGAAACTCTTATCTCCAGTAAACTACTTGAAAACCGGAAGTGGCACTGGAGCTCAAGTGGTAGAGCACTAGCTTGAGCTGAAGAGCTGAGGGACAGCGCCCAAGCCCAGAGTTCAAGCCCCACAACCGACAAAAAAAGGGGGCGGGGCTGGAAAAACCTCAAGCTTCCTAATTCTGTTAAAGATGGTGGTACATGCCTGAAATCTTAGCCCTAGGAGGCTAAGGCAAGCGGGGGTTATAAATTCCAGGATGGTTTGGGTTACCTGGTGAGACCTAGTTTCAAAAACTCCCTACCCCCAAGAAAAATAATGTTAATGCTTGTAACTGGGAGAGTCTTTGCCTTAGAAAGCTGATTTGAAAGATGTACCATCTTATATTATGAAGAGATGTTTATGGGAGATTTTGAATGGAAATTTATAAGACCATCTTTGGGTCAGTGTAGTTACTTTGTGATCTTTGATGTGGTGAGGGTCTTTTAATATGTTAAACGTTTTAATGTGGGCTGGGAAGGTGGCTCAGTGGTAGAGCACTTGCCTTGCATACATGAGGCCCTGGGTTCAATTCCTCAGCACTACATAAGTGGAAAAAAAAAGGCCGGAAGCGGCGCTGTGGCTCAAGTGGTAGAGCACTCGCCTTGGGCTGAAATGCTGAGGGTCAGCGCCCAGGCCCAGAGTTCAGGCCCCACGACCGGATCAAAAAAAAAAAATGAATAAACGTTTTAATGTGCATGTTTGAGTTGACTTCACCCATATATTTGGCAGTTTTATCCAACTACAGATTGAAAATACCTGAAGGCTGGTGCAGTGGTGTGTCATTGCTAGGAACATGGGGAAGCATATGTAGGAAGACCTTGAGTGTAAATAAGACTTTACCTTGAATATAACCAGTGGAAAAATGGCTGGAGGCATGGCTCAGGTGCCTGTCTAGCAAAAATGAGGCCCTGAAGCTGGGTGCTGGTGCTCATGCCTGTAATCCTAGTTACTTAGGAAGCTGAGATCTGAGGATCACAGTTCAAAGCCAGGCCAGCCCGGGGAGGAAAGTCTGTGAGACTCTTATCTCCAATAAACCACCAGAAAACCAGAAGTGGCTGTGTGGTTCAAGAGTTCAAGCCCCACAAGCAACAAGAAAAAAATATGAGGCCTTGAGGTTCAGCTCCCCCCAGTATCATCTCCCCCCCAGAAAAAAGAAAATACTGGGGGTAGGGTTGTGTGTATAGGGGGAATTGTGTCTGTACTGAACAAGTACAGGCTTTTTTTCTTCTATTGTTTTCCATGATTGATATAACAGGACAACTGTTTATATAACATTTACATTAGGTACCATAAGTAATCTAGAGATGCTTTTAAAGGATCCACGAGGATATGGTGTCTATTAGTCCTGGAGTGAGCTCCTTGTTTGTGTTTTAAGACAGGGTTTCATACTGTAGCTTACACTGGTCTGGAGTTTGCTGCTTCAGCCTCCTAAGTGCTAGCATTATAGGTGTGCATCACCACTCTCGGCTTACCTTTCTTCAAATTATTAGAAGACTTTAGTAGATTTGGTTTCACATTGCCAGCTTTGCCTTCTTGGCATACTGATTGGTTCTCTAGGCTCCCAGCAGTAGCTTCCTGTAGTAGCAGGACTGTATGGGATAACCGAGACTAGGCTTCTCTGATTGGACACCCACTGCCACTCCCCAGCTGGTTATAGTCAGGCCTTACTATAAGCATAAGTATTCCGGCAATTTAGGTTATCTTTTATTGTAGGTGACCAAGAACCCTTTCACCCTGGGTGACAGTTGCAATCCTGGTCAGTCGGATAAACTACAGGAGTTTAGCCAGAAGCTGGACCAGGTGAGAGGATGCTGGTCAGTTGGTACTTGTGAGCCTTGTGCCTGGCAGTGATGTAAAATGTATTTACTGTGCCCTTTTCTCTGCAGATCATCCAGGGTAAGGTGAAGGCCCACTTTATTATGAATGATCCAGCAGGAAACAGTTACTTGCAGGTACAACAGACCTTCCTGGATGCTTCCTGTAAATGTGTTTTCTCATCTCCCTTGAGTTGTATCACATTTCCAGAAACTGAAAGACTTGATTCTAAATGTACTGCCCTTTCCCAGGGATCCTGCGGCAAGAGTTAAAAGAGAAGGGCAAAGGGGGAAGATGGGAGGAATTTTAAAGATGTGTAAAGAAAGAAAAACAGGATACTTCCAGGCTCCTTTCTCCTTTAGTCTGCCTTTGACCCCAGTTTCATTCTGCATATCTGTGGATTGAGGAGAAATGGTGACCTATCCAGAGGCCAAGATAGGAAAACAAGGAGGCTTTAAGCTGGGGGAGACAATCTGGAAGTTCTTTGTGATTCAGACGGTTGCTGTACTTTTCCCTTCCACTTTCCTTCTACATCTGACTTGCTGTCCTTTCCATAAGAAGTTCAAACATAAAATGATTGAGCCTCTGGTGATGTAGCTCAGTGTTAAAGAGTTTGACCTTCTGTGCAAGGCCTTGAGTTTGAATCCTAGTACCACCAAAGGCGGGAAAACAGAAGCTGGGCACCAGAGACTCATTCCAGTAATACTAGCTACTCAGGAGGCTGAGATCTTAGGATTGTGGTTCGAAGCCAGTCCAGGCAGGAAAATTCATATCTCCTCCAATTAAGCACCAAAAAATCTGGAAGTGGAGCTGTGGTTCAAGTGGTAGAGCACTAGCCTTGAGCACAAAAGTTCAGGGACAGTGGCCAGGCCCTGAGTTCAAGCCCTAAGACCTGCACAAAAAAAAAGTTAAAAAGAAAAAAAGGGAGACCTGCCTGGGGTTGAGTGTCCCACTCCTGGCCCACCTGGGTTTGGTTGCAGTCCACTAGTTCAGCCTGGCTATGGGGGTTGGAGGCTCTTAGGAGGGTAATACGCATTAAGGTCTTAGGAAAGTGGAAAGACCGCCAGCAGCTGTCTTTGGGAGGGTCGAGTGGCAGAATGGCACAGGCAATGATGGTCTGCCTTGATCTTGCAGAACCTGTATGCACCTGAAGATGATCCAGAGATGAAGATGGAGCAGTACAAGCGCACCTTTGACCAGAATGAGGAGCTAGGGCTCAATGACATGAAGACAGAAGGCTATGAAGCAGACCAGGCCCCACAGCGGTAGCAGTGGCAGGCTCAGGGAACAGCCCCAGCGGGTACTGTTTATACTGACTGCAGGGCTGTTTGATACTGTTGGACTAAAGCTGGGTGTGTCCTCTCCCAGCACCCCCCTTGATGGGGAAGATACCAAGATACTTAGGATGCCACAGATGGGGCATACTTCCTAATAGTTTGTGATGCAAATTTAAGCCTGCTGCCACTTGACCTTATTTTGGAAGTTTTGAACTGGCCTTGGAAGACACCCAGAAATGAACCATGATCAATGTGATCATCACCATTACTCTACTCCCTCCACCCTGGTCAGCCTTTTTCCCTTTTCTGTCCTCTACCCAATGTCTGTCCTCTTAAGGTTGGACCTCCGAAGTTGGCAAAGGTGAAAGACAATTACAGCTGCATTGTGGAGTTAGTTAGTTTTTGGCATGTAAAGTACTGGCTTTCAACAGAAAGGTCTTCTGGGTGTGTGTGGGGTTGGTACAGGTGAGGAAGTTACTAAGATGATGACTTTCAAACAACACTGGCCTCTGTATTTGTTGTCTTTTTGTATACTGTGTTGGAATTCAGCCTCTCAAGTCCAAGTTTAATTCCCCCAGTGCCACCCCAAAATAAACCTAACCTTCTAAATTGGATTAGTTGTAAAACAGTTTTTTTCCGGCGTGACCATGGTCACTGGAGAGAGCTGGTCTTCTGCTCATTCCTTCACCACATGCTTGCTTGCCCACTTAAGTAGGGCACACTGTTGTTGGTGATCATCTGGCCTTTATATTTGCTTTTGTAGAAACACCATAAAAATCTTAAAAGTGTATTTTTTTGTGAGGGTACTGGGGCTTGAACCCTCTTAGCTTTTTCTGTTCAAGACTTGGCACTCTAGCATTTAAACCACAGCTCCATCTCTGGCTTTTTGGTGGCTAAAAAGTCTTAGGAACTTTACTGCCCAGGCTGGCTTTGAACAACTGCCCTTGATCTCAAAACTCCTGAGTATCGAGGATTACAAGTGTGAGTGCCTGTCTTGTGCTTATACTTTAAGTGTGAGTGCCTCTCGTCCTTATACTTTTAAGTCCTTTCTGGGAGAAAGTAGCTCTAAAGTTTTACCCACTTTACAGATAAGGAAACAACCTTAGAATTGTTAGTTAATACCCAGAATGAAAAACGTCCATGTGGCAGGCTTCAAACCCAGGCCAATCAAGCCCTGAAATCTGAGCTCTGACTTCTGAGTTCAAGTCAGTGTTGCCGTATTTATTAGATGCAAGTGGATGGAGAAGAGAAGTCAGCCCTGGACACACGATACACACTTAGCTAATCCTCGCATTGCCCTGCAAGTGAAGGTTGAGACATGAGCTCGAGTCTCACCAGCTGACTGCCGAGCACTGAGAAATGCCTATTCCAATAAAAGTAAAATGTACTGAGAACTCTGTGTCAGACACGGTTCTAGTCGCCTAGCGGGGCGATATTATCTCAGTCCTCCCAAACACGGGTCTTTGTACCACTGTGACTCCCGTGGTCGGTTAAACTACCCGGGTTTGCACAGCTAGGAAGCTATGGACGGGTATTCAAACAGGTGCACTGCAGACCTGGCGCCGTCGGTCCTCTCTACCCTGGCTCCCAAGTCGCGGAAGCGGGATCAAGTGTGGGTCGGCGCCTCCGGCCTCGGTCAGTGAGTGCTTGTTTTGTGCGGATGCAAAGAAACACAGCAGCGCCATTCCCGGAACGTCCCGAGCGCTCCCGAGGCGCGCGCGCTGCGCAGTACCAGTGAGTTCCTCCTCCTGGAGCCCGCGCGCACCGCCTCTTCCGCTTCCGGCCCCGCCCCCAGAACGTCCGCACGTCTTACCCGGCCGCCTTCCGTTTCGCGTTCTGGAAGTTTGTCCCCCGCGCGGAGCCGTCTCCGCTCCGCCGCCGCTGCCATGGCGGCAGCTCCGCCGCTCTCCAAGGCCGAGTATCTGAAGCGTTACTTGTCCGGGCCGGACGCTGGCGTCGACGGAGCCTCCGAGTCCTGTCGCAAACGGCGAAAAAAGCGTCCGAAACCTGGCGGGTCCGGCAGCAAGGGGTGAGTTGGCTGTGGCGGGGCGGGGCCTGCGGCGCCCGCCGCCCCCTCGCCCGGGGCTACGCCTCCCTGGGCCGCCAACC